GAAACGGCCTCTATGCAAATTTTTGATTGTGTTCCTAAAACACTTGGATCAAAATGAAAATTCATTCATCATTCTGAACTGTACTATGTTATTTAGAGTCTATCAATATCACTGAATGGCGAGTTAAGTTTAAGGTCTGGAATTGTTTTCCCTGATCTCAGATCCCTATACATACTTATTTTATCAACTGTATTTGTTCACCCTAATCTTATGACTCTGTGTAAGTTTCTTATTTTCTTATAGCTAAGTAGGGGTTCTTTTTCCACAAATGCCCTATACAATTTTAGAATCTCTAAGATCCTTTTATGTATGCAGAGAAGAAACAGTTCACGTTCTTTAAAATCCAGCATCACGCTAAATAAAGCCTAACTACCTAAATTGTCTTTTGAGGCATATAACTCCCACATATGACCACCAGTTTTCCTAATTTCTTTATTCTCTTTTCTTCTTTATCTATCTATCTGACTGTCTGTTTATCTATCTGTCTCTATCTATCATCATCTTTATCTTTCTATAGATTCTATAAACTTTAGATAATGGCAACTCACATTGATTTCAAGTGCTTCTCTCTCACATTTCACTACCTTTTGTAATGAATTTAGATTGCATAATTTAAGGACCCTGTGTTCAAAGACTATCAAGTTCTTAAGGAAGAAGAAAGAAAAGCTAAAACTATTTTAATTCTCCCCCCCTCTCTCCGCCTCCGGCTGGATTGGCAGAGGCAACTCTATGAAAGATCCAACCCATTATTGCTTTCACTGGGCAACTAATAATGTGATTGGTAACATCTATTATAATATCTATTTAGAAAAATCACTACCCACTAATGAGAAAAAGTTCCATCCATTGTTTGCAATTTTTAAATCAGGGTTTCCTAATAGCTGTTCTTGAGACACATTGGGACTAAAATATGTAAATTTTCCCAGAAGTCCCAACTATTGTAGTCCATATTGTATGAGAATTCTGGGGTTCCCATACATCTGCAAATGCTGGGTTAAGGAAAGCTGTTTTAAAAACAGACATAGGTCATTGCTTTTACTAGCTGATCAGTCTTGCTGTGGCTATATAGAATCCCAAGCAGCTTTCCCCCCACTGATTTACTTGGAAATGTGTAAGCAAAGCATATGCTCTTCTCTGAGGCACAAGAAACACCAACGTCCCATTGGCAAGTCCAGTTGATGCCTTCCAGATCCCTTGTTAAATTCTGGAAGACTTTCTCTGCTGCCAAACGTCTCTCTCAACTGGAGATGAGACACAATTTCTTTTTCTTGAGGGAAGAGCAGGGGTTCCCAACCCCTGGTCCATGGATCAGCTCCAGAACACGGCTTGCCAGCATGTGGTCTACACAAACAAGAAAAGTCCCATCCGCGGGATGCAGGCAGTACACAAAAGCATGCCCCCCCTCCGGTCTGCAGAAAAACATCTCACCACATAACCGGTCCCTGGTGCCCCAAAGGTTGGGGACCTCTGTGTTATAGCTTTCTGTGCACATAATCAACATAATTTGGAAGAGGTGCCTTGCCTCTCCCATGAGCACAATTCCTCTCTGCAGTAGTTTTTTTTTTTTTTCCAGATTTCCACATGAGTATTGGGTTAGCCCTGGTAGCCCCTTCCAACTCTATAACTTTGCAATACAAGTCTGTGATTTTATGAACCCTCCAAAACATTAAGAGGTAAGTGGATTCTTTGAAGCAACAATATTTCATAAGCTCATGATAAAGTCTGAAAAAGAAGGGCTGTTTACCGGTTAACAGAGAGATGCTGTGCTTATACTCATACAATGTCTCCAAGAACTTCTTTCAAATCCTTTTTGAACCATGCACATTCCCAGTGGGTGCCAAGTGTAAAGGATTGTAAATGCTGTGCAATTATAATTGTTTCTAGCAGTTATAAAAAAAACAACTCTTAGTTGTCTTTGAGTAGTCAGTCAAGGAAAGCTGCAGATGCTGTTGGATCCTCTACAAATACAAATACAATATAGATAATAGTATGTTCAGCCATGTTTGTAGCACAAGATTTCTAATGCTAGCTTGACCGGGTAGATGTGCAGTGTAAACAATTTGTTCCTTTTTCATATGCAGTGTGCATGAAGCCAATGACTCTATCCTGCTGCCCTGATTAACAGCAAAGGGAGCCAGGAGAGAAATTGTCAGAGTGAAGCCTGGTACATTTCATCTTGAGAGTGAAGAAAAGGCTGATATGGCCTCGGAAGCCCTCCAACCTGAGAGTGGATCTTCTTTCTGGCTTGCTTACAGAGCAACTGCCAACTCTCTGTTTGTAAATTTAACCTAAAGAGGCTCTGCTTAATGTATCCCTAGGGTTTTTTACAGGAGTCCTTGAGTTTTTCTTTCAGCCCATGCTAAGGAGAAAGGTATATTAAACAATGAGCTGATTTCCTTCATAACTTCCTTTACTTTCTCAGGAGAATCCTCTGGGTTGAAATAAGACTTGGAAGATTGTGTGTCCCAATGGAGAGAGGAGAGAGGAGAGAGGAAAATTAATGGAAGCAAGGTTGTGCAGGCTTGGTTTCATGCCATTTCTATACAAAAGCAGCATTGCCATCTACTGGAGAAGGCAACAATCTCTCAGCCCTGTTGGTCTTTTTAAAATATAGGGAATCCTCAATTTCCTGGTCAGGAAATCGCAAAAGGTGATCACATGACCCCGAGACATCGCAACTGTCATAAATATGAACCAGTTGTCATGCCTCCAAATATAAATGGCGTCACCATGGGGATGCTGCAATGGCCCTAAGGGTGAAAATGGTCCAAGTCACTTTTTTTCAGTGCAGTTGTAATTTCGAATGCTCACTAAATGAACTATTGTAAGTTGAGGACTACCTGTAGTTCATTTGGGTCTTTTAATAATTATTTTTAGTAATAACAACATCAATGGAGGTGATGCAAATGTCTTTACAACCCAGCATTTGATGGGGTAACAGAAGAGATTGTGTGACAGTGAAATGCTGTTTCCCTAATCCTGTGCTGTAGTAGGCAACAATTCAACATGCATGTCTCCCTGGAAATAGATGCTCTAGCATTCCCTGGAACATTTTCCCAGAATAGCAGTGAAGACGTGGCTCTTCATCCAGACCTTTGAAGAGGAAAGGAGAGATCCTTTTCCTTTATATCATCTGGCCTGTTACACTTGCCATCTTTTATCTTTTATTGATTTTTATTGTAATTTCTTTTATTGTTGTCAACTACCCAGAGCTACTGAGAGTTGGATGGCATACATATTTAATAAATTGCTAAATTATTATCCTCTGTTCACAACAATCTGAATTCACACTGCCAGTTCTTTAGCTGGTGATTGGCCTTCAAACCCATCAAGTTCTTCCCAAAAACCTAGGATATCACAATGTATTTGCTATTATGGTTTGTCACAATCAGCCAAATATTCAGATTGGATTTGGCATTTTTATCCATGCACTGAGTGCTTCCCAAGGACCTGGGATAGGCAGATATGGATGTTTGATAGTATTATCACATGTAATGAATCTCTAAAGTATATGAAGGATGATTAAAATTGTGCTTCTTATTGGTTGCTATCCTTCACACACCCTCAAGCCAACATTTGAGGTGACTTCCCCTTGAATCATGGAAGGACCAGGGCCCTCTTTTCTTTCCTTCCCAATTCTTTTCATTCAAGGAATTTACACCAACTCTAAAGCCACATTTATACAAAAGATAAGCACTTGAGCAAAAAATGATCTAGCTTATGGTCTCAATCATCATGCAGCGGGTATCCCAAGCAATTGCTCCAACCATTCTATCCTTCAAATCCCTTCAGATATGTTGGATTCTGGAAGTTAAAACCTAGCCCATCTGTGGATTATTCTTGTGCAGAAAATGTACTTCCCATTCCTGGTGTAGGAAGGGAAAAGAAAAATCCTCATTTGTGAATATAAAAGGTTGTAGCAGGAAAATGAGAAGAGATTCCAGCGGTTTGTTGAGCAAGATCAACTCATCACAGCTTTTCTCTCATTCCTTGTCCACCATCAGGTAAAAGAAGAATCTCTAATACTAGCTAGCCATGAAACATTTGGAGATAGCACTATTTATGTATCTAGGCGATCCCAGTTTAAATCTTGGGCATCTTCCTTTAATCCTGGGAAGAATGCTTCTATTCAGAGTAAACCAGAATTATTATTTCATCATTCAGGAAGGATTGCTGGGCTGTCAGTCACTCTTATTGTCTGCTGAAAAGTTGTGGGATAGGCAAAAATAGCTATACATAAAAGTTTGCCTGTTTGTTTCTAAGATTGCTATGCTACTTCATTCTAGACTGGTTTTGGGTGATGGGCAGTCAATGATGGGCAAGGACAGTTGATTAAGCAGGTTAAGGTGTTTCCCCATTTTGTACTCCTGATTTCCACAATACACTTTTGACTATGATTACAGAAAACAAGAATGATGCTCTGATTTGGTATCAAATAGTAAATTTGAACTCTTACAATAATTTAAGCAATATTGAGTTAAGTGCTCTGATCTGGATATGCAGTCTATGCTCCAAGTACCGAAAAAGGCAGAATACCTTGGATTATTATGGAAGTAGAATCATTGGCAATAAAATTTTCCCACATCATCCAGATATTATATTTAAAACTGTAGCGCCAAGTTGTAAACTGCCATTGTGTGCATATGTCATCAAACTGAATAAAAAATGTAAAAGAAAATCATTTTTTTCTATATTTTTAATTTAATTTGATGAAGGCGGGTTTAATTTTAAAATTTCTTTCTGAAAGAACAAACCAGCACTGTGGTTATTGGCATAAGAGGAGTTTGGTGTGCTGAAGGGGTTTATGTGAATAACTTGTCTTTCATTTTACAATTATCCGTCTAGTGCAGTGTTTCTCAACCTTGACAATTTTAAGGCATGTGGACTTCAACTCCCAGAATTCCACACCCAGCATTGCTGGCTGTGGAATTCTGGGAGTTGAGTCCACATGCCTTAAAATTGTCAAGGTTGAGAAACACTGGTCTAGTGTTTGCAGCCTACCTTACTTCTAATGTAACCAAAACGAACTCCACCCAGTCTTTCCAATCAAGAACTTCAGGCAGCCATGAAAATTACAGAACGTAATAGAAAGATGCATAACAGAAAATACCAATCTAAGCTGTTTTTCTTAAATGAAGTTCAAATTCATTACGAGGAAAAATCCAAAATAGAACTCTCAAGCAATAAGGTAGAGAAAGATTTCAATGTATTAGTTTAAACTTCTTGTTTCAGTGGTTTTCTTTTTCCAAACAATTTAGTAAAACTGATTTCCGGAAAAACTACCCAAAGAGGAGACTCTTAACTCAGTGGGAAAAAAAGAGTTGCAGAGTTGTGTGCATACAACTGATCAAGTACAACCCATTTATACTGTAGATTTATTTTTGTGTCGAGTCCTGTAGCCACTCAATTCCTGCCTCCAATGTTGCATAGATACAATCTTTTCCATTCTTTTGGCAAGGCACTTTTTTAAACAGCTGTCTGATTTATCTCAATGGAAGAAGTAGATTAGTGAATCATTTGCTGAACTGAGGATCCCTCTGCAAAAAAAAAAAAAACAGGTCAAACCAACATCATTCCCCAACTCTGCTCAAAAATGTACATATGTGGCACCCTGTGCAAGATCCTTTTGCTCAATAACTAGGCAAACATCAGAGAGTTTTTTTCAAGTCACTGTTTATTTTATGACATTTACTGTAATTCATAAAAAGTAAGCAACTACAGGTAGTCCTTGACTTACAGCCACAATTTTGCCCAAAATTTCTGTTGATAAGCAAAAGAGTTAAGTGAGTTTTGACCCATTTTACAACTTTTCTTGCCACATTGGTTAAGTGAATCACTGCAGTTAAGTTAATAACAAGGTTGTTAAATGAATCCAGCTTCCCCACTGACTTTGCTTGTCAGAAGGTTGCTAAAGGGGATCCCGTGACACCCAGGACACGGCAATTGTCATAAATATGAACCAATTGCTAAGCATCCAATTTCTGATCATGTATTAAGCATGGGGATGCTACAATTTTAAATGTGAAAAAATGGCCATGTCTTTTTTCTAATGCTGTAGTCACTTCAAATGGTCACTAAACGAATGGTTGTAAGTCACAGATTACCTGTATATATAGCTTGTAAGCTTCCTCAGATCAGCCTAGGCAAGCTTCATCAAGTACAGTGCATATGAACCTAGCTGGGATAAAAGATGGAGCAGGTTTAGAAGGATAATACTCATAATCATATCCATCCATTCAATGAAACTCTGAAGTTCTCGATATAATGAATACTGTGTTGTGTAAAACTAAGGCTAAAAAATGCTTCTATGGAAAAAATTCATGGTCCACTCCAGACAAACTAATTACAGTGCAGTAAATCCGAAAATGTCACAAACAAGAATTTGCTTTCTTATCGAGTTCTTAAAAATCATAGCATTACAGGTTTGGATGTACTCTTAGAGATTAGTCCAACATTCATTAACTCCCTCATTCATCCATTAACTCCCTCATTCATTCATTCATTCATTCCATTCATTCATTTATCTGACTTAGATGACACCAGACTCCAACAGACACTGACTTATTATCAACCAGTACAAGAGTTCAAGGAACGCACTCTGAACATGGCATCATCCACATAAGCAATTTTCAGGCCCCACTGATTTCAATGAGAATTAATACACATAATGGCTTTTGAGGAAACATACACAGAATTCTGCTGCAAATGTCTCCTATTGAAATCACTGGAACCTTAATCGGTGTGTTCAAAATTTTGGTGGATAGTCATATTTATTTTTAACTATACAAAATATTTTCTGAAGGTACACTAGCAATAAATTGTCGCAATAAATTGTCAAAAAAGCACACTATAAATGAGTAAAATTTAGAAGTCATTTTTTCTGTACTTAAGCTGTGATATTTCATTACTGCGAAAATGTTACTTCATCAACAGACCAGCTTACTCAACAGGGTTTGTGACAGCAGGCCTAATGATGAGTAATATTTTCTTTCACATATCCAGTCTAGGAGTATGATCCTGCAATGCTCAACTTTCCTCAAGTGATTCACCTCTTTTTTGTTATTCTGGGAATGAGGCATCTCTAATTTCTCTTGAATCCTTGATTTATCCTTTAGCTCAGTTTATGTTTGCCCAGCATATTAAGCCATGATTTTCTCAATCCAGTTTTCTAATTCACACAACACACTAGGTTAATATGTGCTTGGCTAGTGTGCAAGTCAGTATATCATGGATACAGCCATATAGTATTGTTAAATCATCACTTAGTAAATGTTCAAATCCAACCCTATAGCTTTTAACTCTTGGTCTCAAGGAGACCATATGTAGCAAAAATGAAACTGCCATAAACCACTAAAAAGCAGATGTGAGATTCAGAAGACCAGGCATTAATTTGATCTCTTTGCTTCACATGCCCATTTTCCAAGTTCTGTTATTCTCCCCATCAGGTAACATACATCTGATTAACCTTGGTCTTGCCAACAAACTAATTCCAATTCATGTAGCCATTTTGATTCAAAGGCAAGTATCAATATTGCCTGATTTGTGTGGCAAGCCCACATCAGACGCTGAACCAGGTTGTGCATCACGGCAGAAAAGAACAGCTGGGTTCTTAAAAGCCCACATAGCCACTTCTCTACCAGTGCCTGGACTGGAGCAGGTCAGAGTATTCTTTACATTGCTGCTGTTGCCATGCCCATAGCTGGCATAGCGTTCTGCCCGGCTCTTGCTCTCCAGCCGATGACCCTGAACAGCCGCCAAATAGGCAGCCACAGGTTTTTGAGTCCGATAGCCTCCTTCCCGGTTGCGCCCAAGAAGAAGAGAAATGTTAGGGTTGCGGGTGGCATAGATGAGAGGGTTAATGGCACCGTTGGCCCAGGCCATCCAGCTTACCACAGTGTCTATGATGGGGGAAAAGGAGAAGTGTCCCGTTGCAGCAGCCAAGCCTAAAATACAATAAGGGCCCCAGCAGCAGATGATGGAGATAATCATGATTAGAACGGTGGTGGCCGTGCGCATCTCACCATAGAAACGCAGAAGGTGCCCATAAGTGGTGAGTGGGCGCACCCTGCTCTCACTCAGCCGCACTGCCCGGCAGATGTTGTAGTGGCAGAAGCACATGAGGGCAAAGGGCAGCAGGTAGCAAAGGACAATCAAGGTTGCACTATAAGGGGGCCCCAAATGGGAAGAGCCCCAAGGCAGCACATACATACAATGGTAGGGGGTAGGGGGGTCTGAGCCGACAGGCTGCTCTTCCTCCTCCTCCTGGGCCAGCAAGTACCAAGGTCCTGAGAAGCCCAGGGCAGCCAACCACACAGCAGCCAGGAGCTGCGAGGCTCTTCGGCGGCCCATTTTATGCAGTGGTTGGCGGACAATGGCACAGTAGCGGTCAAAGGAGAGCAGGGCCATCGTCAGGGTGGCAGCGATGCCCAAGCCAGCGTGGAGGGTTGCGCTGGCCAAGCAGAGGCGGCGCCCGAAGAGCCAGGCCCCATGTGGGCGCCCGCTGAAGAGGCTGACGAAGGCCAAGGGCAGGCACAGAAGGGCATCCAGGAGCTCGGATAGCGACAGCGACAGCACGAAGGCGTTGGTAACTGTCCGGAGCTGCCGGTGCCGAGCGATGATCACCACCACGGCGCCGTTGCCCAGCGTGGAAAGCGCGAAGATGGCGAGCAGCAGCAGGCCCTGCGAGGCCAGCGCTGCCCCCGACCAGCCCCACCGCGCCGCCTCGAGGTCCGTGGGTGCCGTCCCCTGCCCGCTCCCCGCGCTTCCGTTGCCGGGCGCGGCAGAAGCGTTGCTCAGTGCGGCCACCTCCTCCATGGGCAGCTGGCGCAGGAAGGCGCATTCCCAGCCCAAGCAAGGCGAGCCCCTTCCCGAAAGCGCCGAGGGGATGGTGAGAAGCAGCGGCCACCGCAGGGTTTCGGGCCGGCTTCCACGACTAGGTGGCCCCGGCCTCGCTGAGCCCTGGAAGGCTGGGTTCCCGCTGCATTTTGTGGACGGAGAAGTCGGCTGTCCGGGGAAGGGGCGACTCCGAGAACGGCGGTGCAACAGCTGCGGAAAAGCGCCCCGCTTCCTCGCGGACCATGCTTCGACCTTGCGCGCCTTTCGCGGCAACCTGGAAGGCAAGCGGAACTACATGGGGATGCTTTGGGTCGCCGCCTGCGCTCTCCACCCGGGGACGCGCGCTCCTTCCCGGGCAGGCTGCTTCTGCGGAGAGGAGGAAGAGGATGGGGTGGAACCGGCGAGCGAGAGCGCTGGGGATGCTTAGCTTTCGCTGGTGCCTTTGCCGAGCTGCTGGTTCCCTCGCTCAGCCAGCCCGGACTCGGCGGGGGAGATACGGAAACCACCTGTGTGGTGCGCTGAATTGTGGAGCAGGAGACGTTCAAGGCCGCTGACGTTTCTGCAGACGGTTGCCCGGGGAAACCATGTTATTTCCATCCGACGGTTGCTCAGGGAAGAAAACAATGCCGCAGCTCCCCCCCCGCCCCCCATTTTAATCTTTTCCACTTCATTCTGAGGTCTGACTGGCAACCTGACAGGGCTGCAAGCGGCCCCTTCAAATGTTTTACAATCCACCAATCAAAAACTCAGGGACACCATCTCTGCTGGCCCCAACAGTTAGCAAAATTATGGCAATTACTTTTTCCCACATTACCCCCAGTTCAGTTTCTCAGAACATGAAAAAGAATCTGTTGGAACAGAAGTACCAACCCATTCTTGTTGGAGTGACTGAACAAATGCATAGAAGACAGGATTTCAGTAGCTGCGGCTTTTCTTAACTTTGCAAAATCTGAAACTACTGGCCTATACATTAAGTTTCTCAGTTACCATTTTAAAAAATATATTTAAAAAACCAGAATAGTAATAACAATCACATCTAAAATTCTTCATTGGGTTTCCTCATCCACTACACTGTAGCACTGGAGTGGTCTTAGCATCCTTGCCTAGTCTGATACACCTTGGTTCAGGGAGAGAAGTTCTGGCTCTCCAGATGAATTACAACTTCCCAGCAACTCAGCCAAGTTGGCCAGCAATGAGAGATGTTGGAAATGGATGTTCGGCCACATCTGGGATAATTCAGCTTCCCTACTTCCATTGCAATACATGGCTGGGCTCGAATCAGGATCTGGCAGATTTTTAAGGTACAAATGGGTGGGTTAATAGCAGTATGTACTTGTAACAAAAATTACCTTTTCATTTGCACTTTATTTAATAAATCCATGTGTTGGCCATCAATCTTTACAGTATACTCAATTTTAAGAAGGTAATTGTTTTGCCTATCCAACATGGATAGCTGTACAGCTATGTAAGAAAAGGTCAAAATCAGATAAAACAACTTGTTTCATAAACAAGGGGGAAAACAAACTGTTTAATTCTGCATGATTACTCAGCATTGAATCACAGTGAACTTTATCAGTTATATTCCCAGTAAAGACCTTTAAGACTTTAATTTTTTAACAAATGTTAACCATTGTAATTGATATCCATAATGTAATTCAAAGAATAGGTATCCTTCCCCCACATACACACAAAAAGTCTAGCAAAAAAAAAAATTCCCACATTTCAACTGTCAGTGAAAAAGTAGTTATCCTCAGAAATCCTCGATCAACTTCTTTGTAAGCTGTTTTTAAATATCTAACTATTAATGCAATTCTAATTTATTATTACTTAAAGCATTTTGCTATCATACATTTATTAATTCATTATAAATTATTCTAGTTTCCTATTGCATTTGTCCCCTACAAGGTTTTTCAGATGTCAAGAAAAAATATTTATGACTTACCATCCTGCCATTATGTTCCTGCTGACCAACCAAAGATTTTGTAGTAGATATGAAAATGCATAACTTTGGCTAGCTACACTGTGTTCTTATAATTATTTGTATTAATTATCAGTAAGAAATGAAGGCCAATACAATAATCAAAACTAAACAAAAATGCATCTTTTTCATCAGAGTCATTAAAAAAGCAATTACTTGAGAAAGAAACCATATTTCAGTGGATCATTTTTTTCAAGAGTGAATGTTGACGTTCCGGTATAAAAAGATTCTCCTGAGACTTCTACTATAACAGCATTGTGATCACCACATTTCGTTTCCTGGATTGGAAAAACAAGTGTTTCAGATTAAAAAAAATAAATCTGCTCATTAGTTCAGTAATACAATCTATAAGCTTTTGCAAATAACTAACATGGGAGGAGACATACAATATATACCCAGAATGAAAAATTAAGTGATAATTAAAAACATATTCTCAACACTGAACAATTCCCAATGTTATGCGACCAGAACAGCATCAATATTTTTTCTTTAATTTCCCTATTGTTTCATATTCTCTGAATGTTAAAAATTGTATTGGGCTGCACGGGGAAAAAAAATCCAAATTGGGAATCTTGCTCTGGTCCTTCAAAATCATTGCTCTTAATACTAGATAACTACTTCCTCCCCCTGAGGTATATTTTGAGTCCACTTCAATGCTACCCATGGAAAAGCAACTCTTTCAGTCAACTAATATCATATTTTCTAAAAAAAATAACATACACAAACTCCTCCCCATTCCTCAAAAGAAAAGTTTGGTATTTACCTTTATTGCTTTTCCAGTGAACAAGGAACCAGTTGAACTGCTTCTGAAGGTCCTGGTCTGGGTCAGCTGAATTAATCCTTTATGGTATTGTAAGGCAATGCGAGCAGTCACACCTGATCCTGTAGGACTTCGATCAACCTATTTTAGAAATATATGACCTGCTGTATTTTTGTTCATTGTTCCATTATATAAATCAACAATTATATTCATATCTATGCTTATTCACTTTCATCTTCACACTTTCCTTTGGAATTCACCATTCCAATTAAATATGATGGCAATAATTATGTTTTGGAGGCTAAAACATTCTAGATTAGAATAAGGCTGACTGGGCAAGAATAGACTGGCGGGCAGCTTCTTGTAAATAAACAGAGCAAACCCTACTCCCTCTAGTACTGAAGTTGTTATCTAGGTTGTTAATGAAATGTCTGCACAATAACAATCAAGCTTAGAGAACACCAAGGACTCTGCCCTAAAATAATATTGACTTTAGCTTATTATTCAGTAGTAATATGAAGAGGTTTTGTGCCCAGAAAATTAGAATTCCGTCTTTATAAAGTCTGTGCAGAAGGAAGACATCAGTGACACTCTAGATATTGCATGTCAACCCCAACCATCATGCTGGGTGGTTGTAGAAGTTGTAATTCAATATTTAAAGCTAGTGCATCATGCTCAAGGTCCTTAGCCCCCCAGATAATCCTTTCCAGCCTGTGCCTCATTCAACACCAGCAGGAAAACCAGCTAGTAGTCCCAAAGGTGCTTTTTCATGTGGCAATTGGACTTTCTTTTTTCTCTTTGAAGACATTTCGCTTCTCATTCAAGAAGTTTCTTCAGCTCTGACTGGATGGTAGGGAATGGAAGGATTCCAATCAGAGCTGAAACTTCTTGGATGAGAAGCAAAAAGTCTTTAAAGAGAAAAAAGGAAGTCCAGTTGCCTCATGAAAAAGCACCTTCAGGACAACCATGACCTGGATAATTGAGAATCTCCATAGACAGCTAGAAGTAGGGCAGCCACTGGTTGGTCCTAAACAGGTACTACAGTTCTTACACATAAGCTAAACAGGCTACACCACCTACTCTGTCTCAAGGGACCGCTGCAATTCACATGAAGGCAGGTGGGTTCACTGCAGGATCAAAGAGGAGCAGGCCTCCCCATTTACCTGCTGCCCGTTGCCTTTCTGCAACTTTTTCCAAGCTTATTCTGCTGTTCAGTGCTGAGGCTTCGCACAACATTCCCTCCATTGGTTTTTGAACTTATCAGGTGGGAGTTGCACTTGGTTGGGGATCCCTGGCCTTTCCTTTAAAAGCAACTTGAAATTGATTAAATTTTCAGGAATTATAGTTACTTACAAAGGATTTTTTTCTTAGAATTTTCCCGCTAGTCTACTTTTTTTGGATCAATCAAATATTGATCCATTGTTTGCGAAAAAAAAATTGACCAACTAGCTTGTTGTCTTAGCCTGACATCTTGAGCTGCCCCAAAGTCACCAAAGTATGCCTAAAGCAGGATTAGAACTCAGTCTCCTGGTGTCTAGCCTGGTGCCTTAATCAATACACCAAACAGGTTTTGGCAATACTTGACTAATTAAAACCAAAATTTGCCTTTCTTCTTTAAAGACATTGCCAATACCAGTTTTATTTCTTGGCAGAAATAAACTCAGGCATAGAATTCTTGGAAAATAAATTCTTATAATTAGGTTCAACTACTCTGCTATTCAACCACAATCAAATCACATATTTTATTGATTTTTTTGGTTAAATGAAAAACATCACCAGGAACTGGCTGAAGTGAAGTGGTACAAAGGTAGCTCTTTTTCACAGTACTGTTTTATAAAAGCTATGGCAATACACATTTTTTTAATGCATTCTTATATTAGACAGTTTTGTGTTTGGTACTCATTCTAGAATCCTGAAGGATCCACAACTCTTTTCAGCAGTATGTCCAATCTCACGGTAATTATCAGAGCCTTTTTTCAATAAGCATCATCCATGATAACAGACATCTATGATGTCTTTCTTGTTGTAACTTCTGGGTTGTTTTCTTGAAATTATGTGTTAGATTATAAGCTAAAATTAAACTACTGAGACATTTATTCTCTTATAAGAGCTAGGACAAATAGAATTTTTAATGGATAAAGCAGACATTCAGATCTGGCCTCTGCCTTTCATATTGCAGATTCTACATATTCTCCCACTCATGGTGGGTACTTATAATTTCCCCCCTGCTATTTCAGGACTCCGATGGACAAAGATCCAGCTATTCGACTAAGGACTACTTTTTAAAGATAATAGCTCAGGATATTTCTTCATGCATGCTTTATTACCTGTGCATCTGCAAATACACATATATTATTTGTAGGTTCATCACTAAATT